CAGATACGTGTTGGTCCCCCCTATCTCCGCATGTCGAGAATCGAATCCGCGGATACGATGAGATGGCGATAGCGAGCGCCGACCAGCTGTCGCAGCTCCTCTCCTCTTTCTTGTCCAGATGTGAGAAAACGCCTCCGTTTTACAATTTAAACATCGCAAATCCTCCTTCTCCCGTTCCCATTCTTTCCTCTTCCTCCGTTCCCTGTGATTCGAATTTAGAGTCGAGACGGATTCAGCCCAAGTGTCCAGCGTACCTGCGCATGTCGAGAATCGAATCCGCGGATTCAATGAGGTGGCGATAGCTCGCGCCGACCAGCTGCCTCAGCTCCTCCTTCTTCTCCTCCACCTCCTTCCTCGTGCGCGCCTCGATCGCAACGATATCCGCGATAGAACGAGTCTCGAAAAGCGATTCCGAGTTCCGAGTGCTGCCATCTTCCACCACCTTCTGCTGGAACTTGCCTCCCCTCATCTTGACGGCTACCAGTCAACCGAAATTCTATGAAACGGCTACTGGTCAGCCGAAACAAGTCAGACGGATAGCAGTCAGCCGGAAACACCGTCGACCGGAAACCAGTCAGCTGTCTACTGACGAAGGTGTGAACAAGACGGCGAGATCTCACTGCCGTCTATGTGCTGTGTGATCAATCGAGAAATCGTTCAGTCAACAATAGGACGTCCGTCTACGGCCAGCTCTGTCTGTCGCTGGCCTCCTAACAGATTAATGATACGCGAAAATAGCGACGGAAAAAACCACAGTGCCTGTCGTTTATCAAGTTATTGAACCATTACACTCACTTCGCCACCTCAAACTCCTTTTCTCTGTGGCTGGTCAGTGACGTGCATTGCCTAAATTTCATTCCAGTTTACAGATTATACGACGACAGGCTTCGATCATCGGACAAACGAACGGCCAAACGGTAAAATCATAACCTCTTCCCTCTTGTGACGATGCCACTAAGCTGCTAGTTCACCACCTAGCGACTGGCGTACTGAGCTACGCCCCGTGCTTAGGGAATCAGGATCTAGGCTGGCCTTGCTTGGGAATTTTGCTTGGGGGTTGGGGGGATCCAGTGTAGCCGTCGCTACGGTACTGCACTTCGAGATTGTTGAGCCTGCTGGAGTACTTTGGGGAGCGGGGGAGGTTAGGTTCCAGAAAGCGCGGAAAGTCGCCGAAGAGATCCAGGCTGAAATAGAGAGCCGTGTACTCGTAACGCTATGTTTTGAAGTCTTCAATTTTATCTAGTGACTAAGGTGCTTGGGGGTGGCAATCGGTAAAGAATTTTCCGGCATTCCTTACTGCGTGCTTCAACACCACGTACAGAAGCAGCCATTGTTCGCCCATTACTGCTAACAGGGCTTTGCCATTTTTCGCACGCACTATTCACCAAACCGCACACCGATGGCCTGGCCGTGTCGGCCTACGCTTCAGGGCTAGCCCGAGCCTCGATGCCAGTGTCGCACTAGCTAGCTCACACTCTCAAGAGTAGCTAGGAATAGAAACGGATGGGATACAAATATGCAACCCTAACAACTGTACCCCCTATAAGGCATCTCATTACAGCTTACAAGAGTTATTATAGTTTGACACACCCCTATAGGCTAAGTGAGGGGTATGAAGGAGACAAACAAGTGACAGCAGATGGTCACAAGACCAGTCAAGAGCAAGCAACAAAACAAGGCTCAGGGAGACGCTCAAAGTCACCACACACTCCGAGCACAAACAAGCGCTCACAAGGCCAGTTTATATAGCAAAGCAAAAAAAGCAGAGCCAATAGCAAGACTACATCAACCAAGGGCCTACCTCAACAAGCCCTAGATGCACACTGAACCTGTGGTGGTCACAAGGCGCTAAGGCCTTCGTGAAGACGTCGGTAGTGTTGGCCTCTCCGGCCACAAAGTCGAAGCATGCCTGGTCGCGTCGCTGTAACTCTCGCAGGAGAAGGTACCTCACGTCAATGTGCTTCACTTTGCTCTCCAGTCGAGGCTCTCGACACATGATGATCATGGCCTTGTTGTCAGCGTACAAGGTCGGTGCAGAGCGAGGCCACTGACCAAGGTCGGCGAGCAAGAAGGTCAATCAGCGAAGCTCCTGTGCCGACATGGCACCAGCGTAGATCTCTGCCTCTGCACTGGACGAAGCCACAGACGGCGACCGTGTAGACCTTCACGACACAACACCAGCACCGAGGCTGAAGTAGCCCTGCGTCGAATGCTGTGTCTCTACGTCGTCAGCGTACCAAGAGTCACACTGACTGGTTGGCTGAGTCCCTCTAAGCACAAGCCCCATGCCTGATGTAGTCGCCAGGTCTTCGCCACCCTCACAACAACTTTCCAGTAAACATGACGGTGTCTCCCATTCGCAACAAAACGGGAGAGGACGCTGAGGGGAAAGGCGAGGTCCGGCCGAGTACAAGTCATCAGATACATGAGGCAGCCCACAAGCTCTGCATAGGGACTATTAGACTCAAAGGGCTCGTTGGAAAAGGGGCCAGTAAGTCTGTGGTCAACAGCAAGAGGAGTAGGCTGGGTGGTGGAGAACTGAAACTCGAACCGCCGAAGGACCTGCTGCACCATGTGTGACTGCGTCAGTGTGATGGTGCGAGCGACTATGTCCCTGGTGATTTGCAGGCCAAGGTAGCGCTGCGGTTCACCGATGTCAGTGCATATGTGTCTCTTCTGCAGTTCGGACTTCACCTCAGCCAGAGCTGCCATGTCTCCTGTAGCAAAGACCAAGTCATCGACGTAGACAAGTTAAAGAAAGGAGTGGAACCAGCGTGAACAAACAGCGACGGGTCAGCAGAAGAAGGACGGAACCCAAGGTCACAAAGCGTGGAACGAAGAGAGTCGTGCCACTCACGGGGCGACTTGCGGAGACCGTAGACTGGTCGCTCCAGGCTCCACTGGGTCCCAGGTGGGAAGGTGTCAGGGAAGCCAAGAGGTCGCCGCAGCCAGACCTCCTCGTGTAGGCAGCCCTGGAGAAACGCAGTGGAGAAGTCGAGGGAGTGCAGCTCGTAGTCTCGTTGTGCTGCTACGTGCAGTAACACTCAAAGAGTAGTCATCTTCGGGGTCGGGGCGAAGGTCTGGAATATGTCAACTCCCTCACGCTAACTGAAACCCCTAGCCACGTAGTGCGACTTGAACATAGGCGGTGGTGATCCATGCGGCCGCTTCACCTTGAAGAGCCACATGCCATCGACAATGTTCGCCCTAGAAGGGGGAACTGAGTCAACGTAGGTGCCTGTGGATCTCCAAGACGCTTACTCTTAGTCCATAGCCGCTTTGCACTAAGATGCCCACTCCACTGACACTGCCTCACGGTACGTGCGAGGAGTCGGAATGTCAAGGGCGTCAGGATCTCCCTCAAGGGAAAGCAGCATGGCACAAAGAGAGGGAGAAGCAGCTGCCAAGAACTCCAACTCAAACTGCTTGTGCTCTAGGACATCACAGCCAAGGGCAAACTCACCCCAGGTGGACAGAGGATGGGCAGGCGGAGCAGCCACTACACGCGTGGCAAAGTCAATCCGGTGGGTAGAAGCTAAGTCGGCGACAGCGGCAGTAAGAGCCGAGACAGACGACGGAGAGGCACGAGGGTCGGTGACAAGAGAGGCAAGAACACGCGAGACAACTGGACGAGCAGCACGGTAGTAGTCGGTGATAGGGTGAGAGGAGACAGTGAGAGTCGACGCAGGAGGTGCAGGAGAATAGACACAGGCGGAGCATGACGGTGACTAGAACGAAACAAGATAGTGCGGAGGTTGTCAAAAGGAGACGAGGGACGAGCACACGGATTACAACAAGTGGTCCAGACGTGCGGGAGAACATGAGGAGGCGACTGTGACTAAGAAGGGGAAGAAACTACTGAAGCCAAGTCCAGAGGAGGAAACGTAGGGGACTGTGAGTGGACAGGAGGAGAAGAGGGAAGACCAAAGGCCCGAAGGCCACTCACTGGTGGGAACAGCTGCTGCAAAAGTGGCGGCTATGGCTAACGCTGCTGCTGGTGCGGCTGCTGCCCCATTTTGGCGATATTTATGACCAAGCCAATGCGGCGCTCAGCAACCCCATTCTGCTGTGGGGACTCTAGAAGCGTCCAAGATTGTGAGGTGCCCTGTTCGCCGCAGAATCCGCGAAGAATGCCGGAGCAAAACTCGCCCCCACGGTCGGAGTGGAGATAGGAGACACGACGACCACGAATGCTCTAAGTGGTGTGGTTGCGAAAGAAACATTGAGACGCACCTGAGTCCAACGTGAAGAAGAGCAACGCGACAACTGTCATGGCTGGACTAGTGACTACACAAGCACCTACACTAAAAGCACAGGTAACGACACTAGCAACAGGCAAAGGTCTTAAGCTAGGTACACGCAAGCCAAGAGATCCATACGTGATACTGTAGAATAAGTAGCATCCATAGATATCAAACACAGGGTAACGACTACGAGACAGACCAGGCCAGATTGGTGGCCTCGACTCAGGCCCAAAACGCTTACGGTATTGGTCGTTGAGGCGGCTGTAGTAGCACTGTGCAGAGTGGTCAGGACACCAGCAGGTAGTGGCAGCACCAGGGCCAGTCAAGATCCGGTACTGGCAGGGGCCGACGTCGCGGCCACTGCGACGAGCCCCCCAGCTGGCTGGGCCGCTGCTGCAGCCAATGATACCCAAACCACCAGGCCACCACTACTGTTGAGGGTGCCACTGCTACCGAGGGCGCCTGTGAGAGTACGACGGCTTATGCTAGCTTTGCTAGCTTGCCTAGACTTTCTTATGCTATATCTAGCTTGGGTTTTATTTATCATGCATAGATATGCTTGATTTCCTAGGTAAGGTGCATTCTCTTATTATAGTTATACCACCGAACCAGGTTACGTGTACCGAACTCAAGCCTATTCGGTTTCCACCAAATTGCTTTCTACTGAGTTCGGGAAGGTTCTGTTCGGGACGCTTCGCGACCTTCAGAACATTCGCGTAACACCTGGGTAACCTGCCTTGTGTCGAGCCTATATATAGCCTCATGTTGTACCCAGGCGAATCAATCAATTACAATTCTCTTTTCTGAGCTCGATCCTAGATCCTCACACTTGGTAATCAGAGCCTGTTTACACGCGACAGTTTTTCGACCGCTAAAACCGAGTCTTAAAAAACCGCGGGGGCGACGCTGATAAACACCGATTTCGGGTACGTAAAACCGGTTCCGTATTTTCACTCCTCCTCGTTTTGGTTTTTTCGAACGCGCAATGTCAGGCATGGAGGGTCAAGGCGACAACTACGCGACGACGAGCGACATCGCCAGCCTTTGCACCGACATGGAACAGACGCAGGCGGCGATTCGGCGACTCGAGGCCCTTCTTGTCAAACTTATATGCTATAGCCTGTAGGCTGTAGTGGGTAGTTCATATGGGGTACAACACTTTAGGGTTTCCTACTTGTACTCCTCATGCTGCTCAATGCAATCATTCCTCGTTCTTATTCTCACA